CTCCCTGGGAAAGACCCTGATGTTGGGAAAGATGGAGGGCACAAGGAGAAGGGGACGACAGAGGATGAGATGGTTGGACAGTGTTCTCGAAGCTACCAGCATGAGTTTGACCAAAGTGAGGGAGGCAGTGGAAGACAGGAGGGCCTGGCGTGCTCTGGTCCATGGGGTCACAAAGAGTCGGACACGACTAAACGACTAAACAACAACAACCATTTCAGATAGCGGATGGATTATTCAATAGGGGCAGTCTGACCTAGGCCCTATCTGCATTACACATTTAAACTTGCAATTTGAAATAGTTATAGCTTCCCCCAAAGGATTCTAGGAAGAGTAGTTTGTTAAGAGTGCTGAGAGTTGCCACGAGGCCTCTTGTCCCCTCCCAAAACTACAATGTCCCAAGTTTCCTGATAAACAGGGATTATGCCACTCTATAGCTGTGTGTGGGGAAGAGATATGTGGATGAAGGGCGGTATACAAATTTAATAAATAACAACAATAAATAATTTGTAGTTTGCCACACAAAGGAGCTGCACACATACCCAGAACTTCAAAATAGGGAGGTTGATGGTGGAGGTTAAGGTGAGCAGGGCACAATTTTGGATGCAGAAATATTCCATGGAACACGGCATTGTGCTCAGTCTGAGATTTCTCTGGCATTGCTTCAAAAAGGCAACACTGCTTGTTTTCGTACGAGCCCTGGCTGATGTGCTTTTCTCATTGCAAGCTGGGGTGAACTTACCTAATGAAGTCATTATTCATGACTTCTAATGTTTATTACTTCTAATCTTCTGGTAATTCCAGGGTATTTAATGCATAGCAAAATAGATTTTCTTCTTCTATTTCTATGTAAGGAATTGATCTAAAGTTATTCACTCAGAATAATATTAAGCCTTCAAATAGGATAAACTTCAATGAAGAGAGAGTGGAGGGTGGGGAACACTACGGGTATATCGTGCTGGTAGGTTCTAAATATTATTAGAGTATAGGGATGTCCTACTTAAAATCTGGGAGACATCCACGTCTTGCCCTTACTGGGCTCTGAGCTCCCAAGGGAATGGGCTTTATTTGTGGTACCTCTTAATAGAATGGTGTTGCAGCAGATACGGTGCATTAAGGCCTAAGAGAGGGATTAATGCAGCCTCATTGACACAAATGCACTATAGTACAGTACTTACTCAACCAGGTTTTCAGGGGATGTGAAAACCAGTGGCGTCTCGGTATGTGCTCATGAGTCCTTGAAACAGCACCATCATAGATTCTGTGACTGGGAAGGAGGTTCCCCTCTGGTCCCTAGCAGTCCCATTACATGTACCAGGTTCCCAGCTAGGTGAAATTCTAAATTCAAATACTGAGTGTTGGGCACATGGAACAGAATAAAGATTCTGATAATGAAAATGATTTACAGGTGGTACATGACACCAGTCAAGCTTGCAAAAATATACCATTTGCCCGACAATAAATGCTGGAAATGTAATGAGACTGAAGGTACATTTTTCCACCTTTGGTGGACATGCCCCAAGGATTAAGACATTCTGGGAGATGATTTATAACGAAATGAAAAAGATATTTAAATATACTTTTTTGAAAGAAAACCAGAGGCCTTTCTCCTGGGCATGGTCGGCCAATTGGTGTTAAAGAAAGATAGAACTTTTTTATGTATGCAACAACAGCAGCAAGAATACTTATTGCGAAGTATTGGAAGACACAAGATTTACCCACACAGGAAGAATGGCAGATGAAGTTGATGGACTACATGGAGTTGGCGGAAATGACTGGCAGAATCCGAGACCAGGGAGAAGAATCAGTGGAAGAAGATTGGAAAAAGTTTAAGGACTACTTACAGAAATACTGTAAAATTAATGAATGTTAGAAAAATGTTGAAATGAAGTTATATGGCTTTAGTAGAAATGTTATAAGGAATTAGGTATAGATAGATTAATAGGGTATTAAAGGGAAAAATAAGGTTAGAATGTGTTAAGATAATTATAGGATAGAAAATAGAGGAAGATGGAGAGGAATTGCTGAAAACAATTAATAGAAGTGGAAGACAAAAAGGGAGGTGTGAGAAAGTCGTGGAAACAAGTGAATGAAAGTTAAGATATTGAAATTGGATTGTGTTTTGAATGGTTTTTGTTTTGTTTTGTTAATTGTTTGTGTTAGTGTTGTGTAGTGTAGTGTTTTTTTGTACGGTATTGTATTGTTGTATTGTGTTTTTTTTGGTTTTTTGTAGTGTTGTGTTTAAATTGTTGAAAATTAATAAATATTATTTA